ATATAAATTAAATTTCGATTTACTATGATATATCATTTAAATAATAATTTCGCAATTTTGAAATATACAGATAATTAACTAATTACTCAAATGAAAAAATTATTAGCGAGAAATAAAATTTTCGTAATTATTTAACGCTATAATGGACAATAACTAGAATATAATCGAGATTTTCGATGATGTAATATGAATTGTTGAAATACACCTAGATTTGCTTAGAACATTCCTAATATAATAATATAGCACCTAAAGATTTTTTGTACTTTAGCAATATTTTACATGATAATATTATCAATATAAACATATATCTATGATACTTGGATCATTATTTACATTATGCAATCATGACTATAAAAAAGTAAATGAAAAGTAATTTAATCTCTTATTTTCTGACCATTGTTTAATTTTATAATTAAACAAATGATCATAAAAATCTTTGTGGTATATACATATTTAATATGCATAAGAAACTTATTTAAAAACCATTAAGTATAATATTAAATGGCATAGTAAATTTTGGTTAACTTATGTTGCTTTTTCTATATATTACAATATCTACATTCGATTTTAATTAAAAATCGATATAATGAAAGTATTGGATACAATAAAACTTTCAAATTAACGATTACAATGTTAAAGGCTTTCTATATATCACATAACCTAAATAATTTTTACTTATTTAGAATTTATCATTATCGTTATAGCTAGTACTAAATTTAATGCATGCTTATCTGATAAAAGATGAGCGTTGCAAAAAATTGCTGAGCAATTTTGTATTAAATAATTTAAAAAACTCTAATCACTGATTTTATTCTTTACTAACAGCTAGAACAATAGGTTCAGACTCTTTATTAGTTGACGGTAATATAACTTCCGTTTCTTCACTACCTTCTGTACTGTCTGCTGCACTTGCTGCGTTTGTCAGTTCCTCCTTTTTATCACCATCACTAGACGATTGTATTTGTTGCATTTGTAACTGATTACGTAATCGTGATATTTCGCGTGCGTCTGAACGCCGATGACGTCGTAATTGTGCATTTTCTGAAACTATGCGTCGTGCCAATTCTAGAACATCTTGTGGTACATCCAAAGCTAATAACCTTTCCTCCAAATCTATCGCTGCCGTTCCTTCTGAGTCGGAATCACTTTCCAGTGAAGAGGTTCCGATTTCGGCTAAAGGTGGTTCTATGTTTATCGTCGAAGATGTTACAGCGGCACTACTTTCTTCTTCTTCACCCATTTCATGTTTAGTTTTTTGTGACAGTTCTTTCTGATCGCTTTCGGTCGTATTCGCTGCGTATGAAGGGAATACGGAATACACGCCGATACCGGAACTGGGAGATGTTTTTTCAGACTTGACATTATCCGACGAAACTTCTTTTTTCTCGTTAGAACTCGATGAATGATGATTATAACGTTTATGTTCATGATGAAGTCGTCGTTGATGATGAGCAGATGGTGGAAGTACTACAGGCACTGATGGTGCAGGTATAGGTGCTAAGGCTACGTTTGGTTGAAAATGCGGTTCAAAACGTTTGCATTCAGACAAAGGAACCACATGCTCTGGATGTTGTAATACAGGTGGACCACGACTGAGATACGCAGGCACCAATGACGAACTGTTCACAAAATACGAAGAACATGTTATAAAACATAGCAGATTGTCCCAACTATGTTTGTTTACTAGACTTACTTGTCCTTATGCTTGCAAGTATTTGTGGTATTCCATGGTCTAAAAGCTGAAGCTCCTCTAGCTGCTAATTCAAAGACTGCCCATGACATTTGTAGATATGGATCAGTTGCATTAGCTACCTGAGAGACAGGATGATACATGCCTAAGCCGTTTCCATTATAAATTCCTGGACAATCTTCTCTTCCTATATCCT